TGTGGAAAGAGAGAACAAAAGATGTATCTTAAACCATAAAACTTTGGAAGAATATAATTTTTTTTTTTATTTTTGAAAACAAGGGAAAGTAAATTAACTCAAATTACACACTCTTGGGTAAGAGATACCCATCAGGTCCAAGTTTAAAAGGCTAAGACACTCTTGTGGAGGTTCCTGAAGAACATGGAGGTTCCAATCCAACCAATGGCTCCCATGGTCCGCTAGAGCATCGGCTACCGTATTCCCTTCTCTGTATGTATGAGTAAACCTCGTTGTCCACTGTCTCGCCATCAATCTCCTGATCTGCTTCACCAGCGGGGCAATGGGGGTGAATCTCCTGGAACTCCCCTTCTATGAGAGTGACAGCAACCTTCGAATCCCCTTCTATCCAGACTGACCTAGCCCCATAGTCCCACGCCAATTGAATACCCAAAAGAAAACCCCAAACCTTGGCTCGTAAAGAAGACCCTGTTCCCAAGTTCCGGCTAAAGCCCAAGACCCAGCTCGCAGGATGTGGTTGAGACATACTGATTGATGATGGACCAGTTTCAATCACCCTCATTATCAACAAGATTCTGAACTGTCCAATTAGAAACATCCTCTGGAATAGCAACTGACTCCTTCGGCTGAACCAGCTGATTATCTGTCAGCCATCTAACTTTCCAATCATTAGTTGTGGCACCATTACCAAGCTGAATTCTAGATCCTAACAGTACCATCGACCAGACTTTCAATAATCCTTGCCAAAGATTGGATGAGCAAGGGTATCAAGTCATCTGCAATTGAGTATTTGTTTCTGACTACTTTCAATAATTCTAGACGAATTATGCACTAAATCATGTGCATAGCTTATAGTCAAAGAGTTATTGATGTAGCTTTTGATTTTTTTTCCTTCTAAAATTTAAGCAAATCCTATAATGGATGGGGAAAAATTAAATCGTTCAGCAATTGTAATGGATGGATATCTGTTGGCGTTGTTAAAAATTATACAAGTTATGCGTAAGTATCTGCAACTAGCCACAAATAATATAAGGTGTATTTGAGACCCCAGTTATCTTTTCACAAGAATCTTTGACTTTTTTTAACTCGACTAAAATTTGTAATTGCTTAAAATTGAATTTCTAACTAAAAAGAAAATTATGATTATGTTTGGGGTAAAGTGTGTGTCATTTTTTATTTTTTTTGGTGAAAAAGTGTGTGTCATTTTAAAGGATGTAAAGTTGTGTCATTTTAAGAGAGAGAAATAGATAGATAAAAAAAGAGAGAGAGAGTTGACAAAAAAAAATAAAAGTCTGGATCTCACCTCTTTCTGATTCAACAGACCATGTCCTACCTTCATTAACATAGCTTAGTTCATATCTCTCATGTTCCTCAGCCCAAGCCCCCCTTTCTCTTTCTGTTGGCAAATATCCTTCCAAGCCACTGTATGTAGCTTCCTAGTATCCGGTGATGATCCCCATAAAAAGTCCCTAGATCGTTTTTCTTGGAGTCCATCTTCTGAAGAATGTAGTGGAAAGAATTTGGAGTGGCTCTTTTATACAATAGGGGAATTCCAAAATATTTGCCCAAATCTGCTGTTAAGGAGAAACCCAAAGCTTGGGCAATTTCATTTGCTCTTGTATGGCAGATATTTTTGGAGAACAACACTCTGGATTTGTCGTTGTTTATCTTCTGCCCGGAAGCATTGCAGAAATATTGGAAGAGCATAACTTTTGACTCAATTATTCGAATCGAATAATTTTTTTATTTCATGTAACTTTTCGAGAAGGGATTTGTTAAAAAAAAATTTGAAAAAAAAACTACCTTGAGCTCGTTTAGCACATTGTATTTCTATAAATTATGTTATTTAATTCCTGTTCCTATTTCTCACTTTCCAACAATAACAAATAATGGTGAATTATTATTTCAATGGATATGAAATTATGTAAAACTTATTTAACTTGATAAAAAGTAGGCATCTGTATTCCAAAATAGATAAAGATGTGCATTAGAATAGGCACCACATATAAGAAAGACATGCAAGAAAACAGACGCATTAGGGGATCAAATGCGCTTGTTTTGATACGCAACTAATTGTAATACTTTCCTAGATATTTTGTAAATCGCTGTATTTTCTTTTTTTTATTTAAATTACAATTTTTAATTTTTTTTCTAAGAGTTGAAAGTTGCTATCATGGCCAAAAATCCTATAATGCTTATTCCATACAATATCAAAGAAAATTAAAATATATCACAAGATTTTGAGTGAAAGACTTGTATAACAATGTATTTATTTTCTAGTTTCTAATATCTCTGACTTTCATTATTTTTATGTTTCCTGAAAATATATTAAGGTGTTTGCGCAATTCACGGGGTCTATGTAACGCCCCGTCTGCAGTCGATTAATTAAAATTCATATGATAGTAAGCGCAACATGCTTAACTTAATTAATGAGGAAGTTAACTGAATAAATTTTCTTTTTTTCCTTATGTATTGCAAACTTTTTCACTTCCTTGGCCAAAACAAAACGAACAATATTTCGTCTGTGTTTTGGACCACTGGGGAAATTCTCACTATGATAATTTGAACCTGATTGACAATTTAATATAATCCAGGCATACCACAACATAGATAAAACATATTGCCCAGCCATCCATGGCCTAGGCTATCTCATAATTATACTGTCTCAAAATAATGTCGATGATGTTACCCTCTACATCTAGTGTATAATAAAGAGAAGTAGACTGAGCATACACATTTCTTGATTAAATTAATCCATTTTGCGGAACAATGATCAATGTACCACACATTGGTCACTTTTTTACCAGTATGCCACGCGAACATTGTTATTTTTTAAAATGCCACGTGTCCGAGTTCGCTACAGTGTCAAGCGAACTCGATTTGCTGATGTGGCGTGTTTTTGGTGACCATCGAGTTCGCTACTGGGTGTAGCGAACTAGGTGACAATTAATACCCTCTGCTCTGACAAAAAAAGAACATGTGGCAGTATTATAAAAGTTCGCTAGAGGTAATAGAGAACTGAGTAAAAATAACCTAACACACATAAGTTTGCTACATTAGGTAGCGAACTATGTGGCTTTCTATTTCTAAATTAATACAAATCGAATTGATACCTGAAAAAGTCTTTAGTTCCTATTAGTCAGTTAGAAACATTGAAAATCTGTTCAGAAATGCATTGAACATAAAAACACAAAGCATAAAATTAAAGCACACAAAGACAAGGCAAACAGTGTAGCACACAGTTCGCTACTTAGTGTAGCGAACTTGTGTGTGCCAGTTCGCTATTACTCATGTGTTCTGTTTTTGTCAAAGTATAGGAGTATTAATTGTCACCTAGTTCGTTATTTCCAGTAGCGAATTTGTACGTGTGGCATAAAATAATACTGATCACATGATATTTGAATAAAAAAATTAATAAACAATGACATTTTGATCATTGTTCCCCATTTTGATGGGAAGCTCTTATGCTTCAAGTTAGAATCTAAGAATGCTTAATCCACACTGTAGCAGTCTTTCTAACTTAAAGTGAAAAATATCAAATGCCATAATAAGTGTGTTATCAGTAAAAGTTTACTAGGCATAACAGCGCTTTGGAAGTCTCAAACAATGTCAGACTTTGTAATCATCTTAGTTACAAGTTTAAAAATCATATTTAAAAAAGAAATAGGTCTGAAATCCTTAGTATACTTGACTTCTTATTTGAAAGGAGAAGGATATTGTAAGAACCAAGTTGTGTTACTATCATGTTATTACCAATTAATCTCACCGTTAGATCGATTACGTTGATCCAACGATTATATTTATTTCCATCTTTGTATAGTTATGATTTCCCAAGACTTTAAATATGGGAAATCATAACCTTACAAAGGTGGAAATAAATATAAAGTATTAAATTTGAGAAATCATGACTATACAAAGAAAGAAATAAATATAACCGTTGGATCAACATAATCGATCTAACGATGAGATTGATTGATAGTAACACAATTTGGTTGTTACTGATCCTTCCCCTATTTGAAATAAGGCAAATAAAAGTGTGTTCTAAAATTTTTTTAGAGATTATTATTATTATTATTTTATTTTTCCACCGGTTTATCAATTATTCAATTAGTCAAGTCAAGTTGGTAGGATTGTAAGAATTTTAATACAGCTACATACCTTAAGCTCGAATTTGATATCACTGATTAAGTTATATAACCCTTTACGTTAATCTGCATGCTTGATGCTAGTAATTACTTATAATTGACAATTATAAGAGCCCGTTTGTTTCGATTTCTAAAAAAAGTAATTTTTATCTCTTCTTTATTTTAGAAGTGTTTTTTTACAAAAGTTAAAGTTATTTATATTTTTATAAAAATATTTAATTTTTGAAAAAAAATATTTGACTTTTGACTTCTATTTTTTAAAAAAATTAAACTTTTTAGCTTTAAAAAAAATAAATTTTTGACTTTTTTTATGACTTTTACTTTTTTAAAAAACAGACATCCAAACGAACTAAAAATGATAAGTACTTTTTTTAAGAAAAAAAAATAGCTTTTAAAAAAAAAAAAATCATCCAAACACGGGCCCTAAATACCCCTTATCACAAATTGAGGAGCTTCAGTTTCATTAGTGACAATAAGATATTTTGAGTTTCCTTCTTTTTTTCTCTGTTCTCCTGTTCTAAATTGAGTAATCTTCAGATTGATTTGATTGAATGAATTAGAAAATGCAGCTTTGCTATTCCCACTGCATATCAGAATTAATGAAGTCAACCCTAAGCAACAATCACAATAGCTTATGTTCATATCTGAATAGTTGGAAATGATACTCCTAGTAGGCTGTTCACCCCATTCACTAATCTAGTTTAACGTGTGCCTATTACTTTAATCATCTGTATCTGATGGTAACAGTCTTTGTAGAAAGTAAATTCTTTAAAAAAAAAAAAAAAAGGAAAAATATCAATAGTTAATATATATTAGTTCATATGAAATTTGAATTAGTCATTTATAGCTACATATTTAATCAGTTGGATATTGCACTGTTATCCACAATAAGAAGAAAAACAGTAATATGGGAAACAGATTCAGTGTTGTCCATAGCTTCATTCCATAAGTTCTACGACTGGCTTTGTCCTTCTTTATCTGAATAAGAGTGTCATATAAACACCATGGGAAACTAATGATATGATCCCTGTTAAGCCCCTCATTGTAGCATCCCCAATAACTATGATGGTATGTAACATGGTACCAAGCTGATGCTATTGCAAATGAGTTATCACCTTGAGAATTTGACTTGCTTATCATCTCATTGAACCAGTTCCTAGCTTCCTTTCTTAGTGACTTCACAGCATGATTAATTCCTTCCAAATCCTTCCTGTCATTGAAGGATTTTGACATTTTCAAGATATTGCCACTGATTATTTCGGCTTCTTTCTCTATGCCATAGTAATTCATTAGGTTCCCCAACTTGCAATCATACATGTTCTTGTATTCATAAGCAATAGTTGTATACTTCTCAAAACCATCAATCTCCATGTCATGGTCATATAATTGCCTTGCCACTCTTCTAGTGAAGGGCTTAATGATGCTATTTTGTTTTGCAACATTCTTCACCTCACGATATAGCTTTCCTATTATGCTATTTGATTGATAACTTGGTTTGTCTAGCTTTTCCATGAAATCTGGATACTCTTCCACACGTAGATGTTGTGGTATTTCTGCTGGCACACCAGTTTTTGCAAAATCTACAGCAACTGAGTGTAGCTTTGCAAGCTCAATACACGAAGGGCTCATTGCCTTTTCAGGATCCCTATCAGCAAAGACAGTGTGTGCAGTTGCAACAATTCCTAAGCTGTCTTTAACTATGTAGTGGGTGAAACATTCCTCAACTTCCTGTAGCCAAGTAGTGACATGTCATAACCACCAAATTGGAACATATGATAAAGCTCTCATATTGCATATAATTTCTTTAAGTCAAGTGTCAAATATTTTACCCGGGTCTCTTGTGGAGACTTTATCTGATAAACAATCTTTGTTTTTCTCCTCAAAGGAAAATTGAAAGTTTGTATTACATTTTTGGATAATTATTTCATTCCTAATGTTAAGAATGGTACGGGGGAGTTCAAAATCCTTTGCAAAGGATTATTCTACCAATGGAACAAATGATAAGATTGTAGGTCTATGGGTCTTTTTTACTTATATGATCCTCACTTGGTTCATGTTTAAACGGGACTTCACTACTACTCACATTTGAACATTTCTGTAAAGAACCACTTCAACCCAAAACCTTAAGGTATTAGGTGAAGGCCTTTTTAATAATTTATATTAATCTCTAACAATTTCCAACACCTAAAACACCAATGCTTTAATCTACATAGGCATATTAAATGAAACCCATGTGAACAACTAGAAGGTGAAATAATGAAATGATCACAAAAATGTTGTTCATTTTTCATGTATTGTATGAAACATGAGGAAACATATGACATACGTTACCATTCACCGATGAGAAACTACTATTCGTTCCATTTAAATAGATATCTGTAAAGAATTGGTTCTTTACAATAACTATTGTGATGATAAGAAAGTGAAAAACACATGGGTGACATGTCTTTTAAAATATTAATTTGCTAGGACACTTCTATTTTATAAATCAATACCTGTAATGTAACATCATGATCAATATTTCTAACTTGAGATGGTGCATGATCCATGGGATTTTCCTTACGAGGAGGAATAAGATCAGGATCCCAAGAGACAAAGTAGATATCTCCATCCAAGTCACTACCCGAACATTCATTAGGATGTGGTCTGCATATGAATATCAATTGAAGTCATAAAACAGCATACACATAATAAATGTAATCTCATCTATCAATATTCTATGGTGGTGGCTGAAAAGAATACTTGGTAGATAATGATACTCTAAATGGCCAAATATTCTAAGAATACTGAATGAAAATAAAAAATCTTGAGGAATGTTAATCAATTCCTTTCCATGTAATCACCAAAATGCATTTTAACCATTCCCTCACCTAAACCTATGAGAAATTGAGGTTAGGATTTATTAACTTCATGCATACAATAAGCTTTATTAACTTTATCCCAATTTTTTCTGGAAAAATGTGATGTTGATATTGATGCATATAATAAGTTTTATATACTAGTACTATACTAACCTTTCTTCCTAATACCTTGTAGTTTTCTCAACTGAAATTTAGGTACATGAAGTTATGTTGCTATTGAAATAAATGATTGAATGGATAGGTTATGTGTGAAATGTTAAAATGAGAAGTGTGCACTTGAATCAATTTCTTCATGTGTGTGCTGTGCTGAGAATGGGGAATTTAAAAATGGAAATCTTACCTTCTCCCCTTCTGTGGAAAAACAACACAGTCCACCATATGATGCAGGGAAGGTACATCAACTGCTCTTAGAACCCGCACATCTCCTGGGTGCAGACATGGATTTTTAGCCACAACTACCTTTCCCTTAACAATATGTTTACTTTGATGTGCTCTATTGTCATTAGAAGAAAGAGAGGACATAACATGTACTTGCTTATTTCTTCTGTGAGATATCTGCACAAACACCTGTCCATATTTTAATGTCCTAGTTTCATCTAAGCATCCTAACATTGCTCTTCCTTTCCTAACAAATATCCTAGTTTTGAGCTGCAATTCTTGTAATTTTGATGCACGTAATGTTTGCAACATCATGGAAAGAAAAGGTTCCTTAGTTGGATGAAAGCCACAAATGAGCATTTCCTTTAAAATGTTGGTAACCTCTCCTGGGGACATCAAGTCTAGTGCCTTCAATGGCTTTCTTGATATCATTTTTAGTTGATTAACAACCTCCCTTTGCTTCCTTTTGAAGACTCTATCCTTGACCCCAAGTGTGGACAAGAGGGTGATTATTTGACGATTAAGGAAACAAGGTTTGTATTTGCTCCATGCCAAAACATCTAATTTTGTGTTTTGTGACTTGTACTTGCACATGCTCTTTCTTAAGGACAATTTAGTTGATGAAGTTGGATCAATAGCAACAACACCTTTGTACCCACCATATCTGATTTGAAATGCAGATGGAACATGATCCCCACAACCACATTTCTTAGCCACATTTTGAGCCAATTCAGCTGATATCTTCCCAATGCCATCAGAGAAACAGTACTTGATTTCTCCTCTTCTCACTTCTATATCAGGAATAACTTCAATTTCATGTCTTCCAACACTAAATGTTTCCCTGGAAGAGCTGAATGATTGACCAAGCCTTGCAGCATATTTGGCCACATTTCTAATTTCATAAAAATCTCCCATCCACTTTCTTATATCAGATGCAGTAAGTCCAGCTCTTGATGCAAACATCCACACAGAGTTATCCCTCAATTGACTAGGTGAGAAGGCAAGAAACTCAAACTTCTTATCACCAATTGTTATGCCATTTTTTAGTGAAGACAGTACTCTTTCATGAAGTTTTGTTTCTCTGTCCACATCCATAGAAGATGACCTTGGCATCAAATCTGCTGAATGAAGCTTATCCATGTCCTCATCAACAAAAGAAACACGAAGGAAGTTATCAGTGTCTTCAGGATAGTTGCGCAAGACACGGTTGGAAAGATTCACTTCAGGACCACAATAATATATTTTGGATGGAGTAACTTTCACTCTATGCACATAGACCAACCCATCATCTAAAGCAATGACATTAGACACTGGAACTAGACTATGTGTTGAGTATCTTTGATATTGTTCCTCCAACCATCTTACAGGTTCATAGCAGCATTCTTTCATTTGATCTAGCTTTTGCAGGGCACTTTCTATATATTCAAGCTTTATTCTTTGAGGATCAACTAGATGAAAGAATTTGATGTCAATTGCTAGCAATGGAAGACAACCATGCTGAACTAATGAGTTGATTTTGAAAAAAATTCTGTATGGCAAGTTGAAGCCTTCTGGTGGAATCACCATGGGAACAAAATTTAAGTTAGAATTGAAACCATGGTGTCCCTCAAGGGTGAACATGCTGCCAACTTCATTATAATTATTAGGATAATGGTGATGGAAATTTGGAAGCTCAGTACTTTGTGGAAGCTCAAGACATAGAGCAGAAGCTTGTCCAATGCAACATGATGGGGTGAAATCTACTCCTCTTAACCAATGGTTGTCATAAGCCTCCTTAAAATATTTGCTTTTGGAAATATATTTCTCATAGATCCTTGGAGCACCGCGTAACTAACAATTAGGAGAGTAATTGGAAGAATAAGATACCTCCTTTGTTACTATCAAGCAGACCAAAATATTCAATGTTCTTATAAACTGAGATAGTGAAGTTTCAGATACAAGCATGAGGTTCATATTAAAATAAAATAGACTAAGTGCATAGATGCAATAATAGAAACATTATAACAAGCATATGTTCTTGGTCATGGTTTAGTGATTTATATTATATATATATATATATATATATATATATGAAAATATTTTTCTCTAGTAACAGGAGAAAAGTACTCCTTCTAGCTGACCTATAATCAAGTGGAACCCACCACCTAAAATAAGAAAAAAAAAAAAAAGCTGGTTCAAATTTCCATCTGTCTACAAGAGGGTTAATTGTTTTTCCCGCAATAGGAGAAACACTTAACCAATAAGTTCGAATTTTTATCTGAGGGCGAGCCTTGGAATAGCGGTAAAATTGCTTCTTGAGACCGAAAGGTCACAGGTTCGAATTAGTCTTTTTGCAAAAATATAAGGATAAGACTGCGTACAATCTACTATCATCCCTACCCTCACAAGTCGGAAAGTCTTTTGCATCAGAATTTGCCGTTACATTTTGTTAGGACACATGTTCAAATCTCACATATAGAATTTTCTGTTCCCGGTTGAAGGCATGTTGGAAGTATTCAAGTATGAGTTATAAGAAAGTACCACAACGACTAGACATAGACCAAGTGATAACTATATAAAGTGCAAAAAGACCCATAAACCTACAGCCTTAAGGTTTTGGGTTAAGATGTGGTGTCGGCCCACTTATTATGGTTTGTCATTTGGCCCATTGGTGGATGTACCCTTTGCAAAGGGTTTTGGGCTCCCTCGTTCCATTCCCAACAGAAGGCCAATTCAATCCGGTTTTAATTACATTGGTGAACAAGATATACACGAGAGAATGAAAAAAATTTGATATTTTTTTTTTTTTAACTTTTTTTCCCTTGTCAATCTTTTTCTTTTGTGTAAGCTAGGCTTTTTGGAACATGTCAAATTTAAACTCAAGAAATGGAGGAAGGACATCCATGTTAAACAAGTAAAATATTGGAGGTCAAGCCTAATTATTTTGCCAAGATATTAATCAGGTTAAAGTTTGACAGTACTCATGTAAAAAACTAACCTGAAAAACGAGATGCTTCTTGGTTAAACCATGTGAATGATGTAGCTCAATACGTGATACACTCTCAGAAGAAATCTGCAACTTATAATCCATAGACAAATAATGAAAAAATATATACATCTTTCTTAATCTGGACCCAAATTTAACAGAAGCATTTGGATGTTTCCAGAATACACCAAGTTTTTCCTTGGATGTTTGACATCCAAAGTGCACTACTATATCATCCATGCTATAAGGAAAGATTCTTGGCTTTGGCAAAATGTCATGTTTTATTTCTGTAGCATTTAGAACATAGTCACTATAAGATAGGTTCTGAGTAACCAAGAGTAAGATAGTTTCAACACTTCTTTTGTCTGTGAATTGAACATTAACATGTGTCATAGTATCTCCTTCTTTATGCTGCACAACCTCTACAGCCTGAACAGTTTGGACGCCTATATGTTGCTCCAAAAATTTCCTTACCTCTTCAGCAGAAACATTAGATGGAAATCCATGCATTTGAATTGTCTTACACATGGTGTTTGATTAGTGCACCTGAAATTTATATATGAATGACTAATAAATGCACACACAAAAACACACACCATTAAATCCCGACTAGAGAAGACGGGGTGAGGATAATATTTGTATACAGTCTTACCTTTGTTTATTTACAAAAAGTTATTTGCTATATTCGAATCTGTGACCTTTCAATTACACATGCACAATTCATTAATTTTCAAGAAATTAAAACATGATGTACAATTTGATGTTCAATGTGAAGATTGCCTCATAGAACAATTTAATTTAGAGAGCATGAACACATTTCCTTTGTGATATTTCTTAGTTATGCAAATATAGCACATTGCTTATTTCAAAGGAAATAAAATTATTTTAACAAACCATTGTTAGAAATAAATTCCATTCTTGGATCATGATTTCAATCCCGTTGTCATAATTAAATTTCAACATTATGTAATTTACCAACATATAAGGAGAAAGAAAACTCACGGGAAACCTCTAGTTACACTCTAGCCAAATGCAGTTTGAGAAACCAAGGACATGCATAAAGGAGCAATAGGAAAGAGTGTCCTTCACTAAATTAGGCTTAGGACATGGAATTGGAAATGTGTGGTTATTTTTTGTATGAGTGCATGAGTACCGTAGTATATATAGTTTTCACGGTTCAAATTAACAAGAAAAGGTGGCATCTTTTTTCCTTTATTTATAGGAAAATAATTATCTCTTATTGCATGAGATAATTATCTCATGCAATAGAGACAAAGTAGTGGGGTTCATTATTTTTTTCTTTTTTAAAATAGTGGACCCTACTATCTTGTCTCTGTTGCAACATGAGATAAATAAATCCCTTATTTTTTTGAATATTCATAGATCCTTTATTTATATTATTTATTTGTTCATCGATTACTCTGAGTAGTCAGATTCGAGCCAATAAGACCACATGGGTAACAAAGTTCTTCCTACCAAATTTTTAATACAACTGCATTCCTAGAAACTCGAATTCAAGTCCCCTGGTTAAACCCCAAACAACCTATTACCAATTGATCCACGTGCTTTATTGTGTTCTTTTCTTTTTCCTATTTTATATACAATTGCTTTTTCTTTATAACTTCTTTTTTCTTTCCACTACATTTTTTTTAGTACAATGAGGTATATGTGCTTTGCTTCTTCCTCTATTCCAGGGCACGTATAATGAGGAAAGCTCATTCTTTTCTTTACACCCTCCCATACCTACGAACAGTGGGATTCCGTCCTATGTCCCTAAGTAATTTATCAGTTTATATATCGATTCAGCTTTGAAAACATTGTTAAAAGCTAATGGAATTAGTCTTGGGTGGGAAACAATGTACTTCTCTCTTATAAATTATTTAACATAATTATGTTCCAATTTCATTAACTGTTTTACCCCAAAATATGGTACAAGAATAATCCTTTATGTCATAGCTCATAAACTTGTCGATAACACTCTATAAAAATTCGCTGCAGATAATATTATTTTGTGCATGTTGAATCCGCAAGTTTGAGCATTATTTTAGTGTCAATTTGATTTATTAAATGTAATGGTTACATACATTTGTTCTATGTAATGTGAACTTCAAATTAGTTTGTAATATGCATAAAACGAACTATTATGTACCACTTATCAACAATGTATTATTTGATTAAATAGGAATTAGTTACTATATTGCTATAATGGTTTACTAACTCATTAACCAAACAATACAAGATAACAAAAAATTTGTAAGTTAATAAATGGATGTGCATATTATGATGTGCGAAAATCAGTTGTTATACAAATGAACTTCTCCTAAGACGCTCACAACTAGCGAATGCGAATCATTAAATAACAAATTAGTTTTACTGTAACTTTTCTTAAATGGTATAAATAAGTCCATTTGAAAATTTGTGAAGAATACATAAAGATCAAATTGTAGAAATATCGGCTTTGATTGATTGTTGTTTTTAAAAACAATTTTTTAGTTTTCAGAACAAAAAAACAAAAAAATTCATTTGGTAAAGCCTATTTTGTAAAAAATGTTTTGAAAACTATAACTGTTTTTTTACTTTTAGAATCAAATTTAGAGAACATGTCTGAATTGTTTTTGTTTTCTGTTTTGGTTTTTAACTTTCAAAAATTAAAAAATATAGAAAACAACTGTTTCCATAACTATTTTATAAAACAGTTTTAAGAATAAAAAAAAAAAACAGAACACAATCAAACAGACCTGACATCATTGCTCGTTTTAAAATTCTCCCATGTTTTTTTTTTTTTTTTTTTTGCAAAATTCTCCCATGATTTTTAATCAGTGGAAAAGCTAATATTGAATTTGAATGAAAATATTATGCACCAGAAACGTTAATTAAGCATATAAGGAATAGGGGATGTAAACATTAATACATAACGAGATGCATTATGAATTTGTTTCTTTCACAAGATTAGCTTTTATTAAACACGTTTCCAGGAAGGTATGTTCTGATAGATGGCAGGGTTAGACTATAAGCATCAGATACCGTCTAAGAGCCTCCTAAGTAAATCCACCTTGATCAACTTGTTGTTCCATTTACCAATGATGTCAATTCAACATCTTGAATAGCTACAAGCTTTGCTCTTCCACCATACTCTTCTGGGAGAACATCTTCACCAACCTCTCTAATAAACTCCCTTCTCTCATCCTCATTGCTTACAATTACTATCTGCATCCACCATCCAAAGTCCATGAAAATTAAACATGTTACATTACATTTAAGCCTAAAAATAGGAAATTGAAAGATATTAAATCATACATAAGTGGTCAAACAAAATTCTAAGGTAACTAGCTAGAAAGTAATTCTCTTCATATGAATCAAAATGATAAGCAATCATTTCAACCCAACAGAAGTGTGGATCTTGCACACTCTTATTTTTATTTCTATTTTTCTATCTTGTGCGGACTTAATTCCACTAGAAAGTAAGGGAGGAGAGGTGAGAATCAAAGTCGTGACCCGTGACCCCGTGGTTATAAAGACTTTGATACCATGATAAGCAACCATTTCAACCCAACAATTTAAGCTAAAGGCCCAATCAATGATTTTTTATATTATATTTCTCTAACACAAAAGCTGACTTGCATGTAGTCAATTAATTACTATTGCTCCCAAGTGTTAATTTTCAACTTAAAGATAGTTAATGAGTACCTTTTCTAGTGTTGCCTTCTCTAGGAAGCGAGAAACTAGTCTCCAAACACTCACAAAAAACCATGGCATGTGTAAAAGATAGCACTTTGCCAAACGTTCAGGGTAGTAAGCCTGCAAGTCAACCAAAAAACATTTAAAAAAAATTAAAATATATGCTGTCTCTACCTTTCCAATAAATGTTGATACACGCCACACTAGATGCTAATTCAGACATGATCTAAAACAGTGACTGTGACAAAAAATTCAAAAAACAGAAGGTGTGATTTTATACATTGGCATTTATGATATGCATGAAAATTTCAAGGAAAAAGACAAAGAAGGTCACCTGTAAAAATTGAAATCCAGTGATTAACCCACGTGCATCAACATTTTTATACGCAATATTCTGCAGATCAAGAACCCCAATCAACTTTTCATTTCCTATCTCCCTTCCTTTGAAAGCACTGAAGACAAAAAGAATTAACAACTGATTTTCAATTTTCTATGATAAAAGAGAATAGAAGTCTGAGACACAGATGAAAATTACTATTTGATAATAAAACCTATATTGCTATTAGGAGTGATGAAATACAAATGAACGGTCTTGTTATCATACAAATGAAGGCTAAAATATTGTAACAAAAACACAAGTACATATGTGCTTCCCAACTTGAAATCAAAATTCTACCTACTAAGAATTCTCTCCTAAAGAATATTTGGATGAATCAAGAAATAGCATGGGGTAAGTGGGAAAATGAATAAAAAGAAATTTATTCCCTCTCTGACTCACACAATCTGTTTATGTTCTTCATGAGCGAAATTTCATATCTTTTTAATTATACTTCTTTCTTACTAGATCATTTATCAGCCCCACTACAAAGCTGAATGTTCTGCAACAAGCTATCATTTTCCTGACTGAAACTTTTGCAGTTCTTGCATTACTTTAGCAGCATATTTCTAGGATCTCCTTTTGGCAGTGGTTTTTGTGATTTAGCACAAAAATGGATACAACTGTCAGTGTTCCCAAAACACAAATTGCACATATTAACCAGTATGATAAAAAGTTTATAAACAAAGATGTAGCATCCTTAGCTATCATCAAATTAGCTTTTCACCAGCTGAAATATAAAGAACCAATTCAACCAAAAATCTTAAGCTTTTAGATTGAAATGGTTCTTTTGATCTTTTCATGGTATCAAAACCGACATGACTAAGTGATCATGAGGTCGATCCTCACGGCCCCCATTCTATTAATAAAAATAATTAAATATTGTGAAGTTTCTTAGCACAGGTAAGCTTGGTCTGATCCATCACCCACTCTTCAAGCCCAAATGGGTTCTCGTATGAGGGGGTGTTAGAGAAATGTAAAACCATTAATGTGCTCACCCAACAGCTAAAGCTTTTGGGTTGAATTGATTTTTTACATGTAATCGCAACAATTTTATTGAAGGGTTAAATTCAGTTTCCTATCATGTGATTGGCCTGATTTCAATGTGTCACTCTTTGCTTTGAACTTTGCAAATTGCACTTTGTGGTTTGTTCCATATTTACATAACCACCCTTCACTTTTCAACATCCATTTTTTAATGGACAACACATGCAATAAGCATGCACAACATAAAAAAACTAGAATTTCAATTCCCAAAAAAAAGACTTATTTCATGCATAGATGTGCCTCTCACAAGTCATTTCTGTTAAAAGTGAATGTAAAATAAAATAAAATAAGGATTGGTATACGATAAATAGAAGAACATGCCACAGCGAGGAACTGAATTTAACTTTAGGCTACGGAAAGTAGTGATAAAGTATCAATTATCAATCACGTGAAGTATAACAGTTAGAAAGCTTCTATAATGCCATGCCTTCGTCTGAGGTAATTAGTTCCTTTAGACAATAGGTATTATTAGAATTATGAAAAAATTGACCAAACTCAATCCTAAAAGCTAGCTCAAGGGGATGAGGATTGTCCAAGTCATTATAAGGGGTACTTTACCATATATCTAACCGATATAAGATCTTAACACACACCCCTCACGCCTAGGACTGGGTATCTTGATCACGAAGTTTGCAGGACAGGACATCTTCAAATGGCCCAACATTTGGACTGGGATATGCTCTAATACCATATTATAGGCAGTCAAGGAAAGCCCCAAAGAAGGGAGACTTCAATCAATAAGCTAAGAAACAAACCATAATATTAGGGCTAACACCACATCTTGACCCGAATCCTTAAGGCAACGAGTCTATAGGTCTTTCCACTAATATAGTCCTTACTTAACACATTCCTAATTATCGTGCAATTTCATCTCTCACACTTGCATTTTCACCATTTCTAACATGCCCCCTCACGAAAATCTTTGTATGATCTTAAACAATCCCCTAGGGCTTGATTTGACAAATTTAGCACTATAGTTCAAAAGTTTGGTGTGACATGGATTTAGAGATAACCTCGCAATTGTCTTGTCCAGTAGATGTACAATGAATTCTGAAACATTAAACAAAACAGAGTAGTCATCAAGATAGTTATAATTATGAAATATGAATACAATATAAGAGAATTTCAATATTTCTTTCAATATCATATCTTTGCTCAAGCAGTTATTCTCTCTTTCATTTGTTTGATGGAAAAAGTTGTTCTCTTCTTAAAGCATACCAAACTGACAAAATGAAAAGGAAGTAGTGATTAGTGAAATAATTTTATTGAGCTGTGCATGCGCAATCCCAATTACCAAATCAAACATTGACAGGGAATCACTAAATTAATAAATATCAGGTATGGGGAAATAAAAAGAGAATTGAAATTTTTTTTTATCTAAAATTACATATTCAATGCAGTGACTTGATTCCCTCTTCCTTTTCTTTAACTGATTTTAAGTTGTAGGTGATTCTGAAGGTTTACACCCTCTTGAAAGGGCCACCATCGTGGTTCCTTCATTTACATTTATAAAAAGGTACTAGCCAACAAATAAACTGACCTTATCATATGTAAATTCCTAGCTCCATGTCAATGCTATCCACTATTTTCAGACCGAGAGATGTTCATTTGGCCATAACAAAATTGATTGATTCCCAGCCCATTTTATAATATATTATATATATCAGCAAGAGTTAACAATTAATTTCCATTTTATTGACTTCTCAATAACAAAAGTAAGATATAAATTCCTTATGTAATGCGGTCGGTAATGGTACTTACAATACCTTTCAGTTCATAGCAGTATCATGTTTATATTTAATCACTTTCCTATCTTCATAGTTGATGGTGCTACGGAATTTAAAACTGAACCTTTAAGTCATTATATTTTCACTATATCATCATATCATGTATTTGAATTCAAAACTATTAAGTTATCGTGTATACTAGTTTAGCATACATCCCCCTGAACAAGGTAACAAAATGAAAACAGCAGGTCACAAAGGCTAAAAAATACAACATGAATGATAGATTCTCTCAAGCAACGATGAACACAAGCATCAAAAGCCATAAACACAACCCCGTTCAATATATCATATATATAAGTGCAAAGATACACCCTTAAAATACGTGTTGTAAAGAAACCCCAGAATTCTAGTGACTGTTAAATGTGTCACATAGAACATCACAGTAGTAGATCACCACGTTTCCACATATATTAGTGTGTATTGTTTTGAATAGCATTACAAATTTCTGACATGTGATATGAGGATATAAATGAAAGAAAAGTGACAATCACTTTATAATAACTCAATATGTGGTAATTCTTTAACCAGGACAAGTATGGAAATGTTTGGATAAGGTAAGCCCTTACACCAACTCTAATAATTCAATGGTGTGCCTTAGTTGAGAGCGAAAACACAAAAGAACTTGTTTCAAGGATCATAAAATTTTAAAGCAAAAGACAAATACAAGAAGACAAATGGACAAGGTTCAATATTTGAAGTAGCAGAGAAACCTTCAGGTCCCACCAGGATTGACCACACGTCTAAACAATTGCACAGCTTTATATTATTCTATATTTGGTAAATTCATTTCCTCAACTCTTCAGATGACAACATCACAACAATTATAGCAAGAACATTGCTCTGTGAAACACATGCCTTTTGTTGCAATAACCATATAAATATATTTCTTTTGGCCTTGCACTCATAGAAGCCCATGAACACAATTAAATACCCCAAGTAAAATCATCTAATTATTTAAATTTAATAATGATTTGGTCATGTGACAAATAGATACTCCAGTATCAAAATTGGATCGCATAGATGACAGCAAGATAAAAAGGACGTACCAAAGAAAACTCAAGAGGAAACCATTAAAATAACCTTAATCTAAGTGGCCTATCTGAAAATTTGGATTTTGAGCAAACAATAATGTAGTTTAATACAAGTAAAAAAAGAAAAAGCCAAAGAACGTGAACCCAAATGGTCACGTAAATTTAAGTGGGGACCTTTCTCTTGAGGAATTTTCAACTGATGGACAAAATACGCCAAAAAGGCATCTTTGAACTGATTGTACTAGAATCAAACTTTCAACCACTATGTATTATTTAACATGATCATGTCATATGAGAGGATCATAACCATCAATGAACAAATCATCTGGGATCATTTTATAACTACTTATCACTATAATTTTTGTCTCTCATCCTTTATCACGGTTGATTTACCCTCGTATGATTATGATTAGGGTCTCATATAATATGGTCATATTAAATAACAAATGAGAGATTCACTCCCAACTTTCCCAAACCAAATAACAAAAGCTATCAACTATCAAATTTTATTTTTATTAACAAAAACTAAAGGGTGTTGCAATTTAATAAAGTTAAATAAAGCAGTAAATTACTCTTGAATTGAATCTGATCCTTGGAAGGAAAATGTCTGCATGCTAGGACAATCAACACAGGGTATTTATTCTGAGACAAACCCTGCAAAAAGATCTTTCTAGTTTCCAATTCATCTGGGACTTCAGAATCTGAAATGAAACCATTAGGCACCATAGTAGCCCTCCACTTCTGCCATTGAACAAACATCTTTGCTGCTTTATCATGCTCCATTGATCGAGCAATCAAGAACCTCATCAGTGTATGGTCTCCATACCCCTGCAAAAGGGTAAGTTAAACAACAACAACAACAACAACAACAACAACAACAACAACAACAACAACAACAACAACAACAACAACAACAATAATAATAATTGAACTTTGAACACACAACTAGTACACTACAGAAGAAACCAAGAGATTGGTCACCTCCGCAGAAGAACCAAGCTTCTCAACAGATTTCCTCATCTGGGTAAGTGCAAAGTTTCTTTCTTCATCCATTTGGGGTTGAAGCAAAGACTAATTTGGCAGAAGATAAATGATGGGGTTGGTACAAAACTAATACCAGAACCCCAGAAAACAAAACAAGGAGGGGAAGAAAGAGTATTTTTCAGAGTGGCATCACCATGTGTTGAAGAGAGTGTGTGGCTGCTAATGCTATAGATGAAGAAGAGAGCAAGAGCACGTGGGGGTTGGAGAAGCAAAGACTAGTTATGTTGACAAAACGGAAGAAAAAGTGACAGCGACAAGGCAGAGTCTGCAATCAATAACCCGAACGAACAAACCGTAATAATAGACTCGGTCGCGATGTTGGATTAATGTGTTAGTATTTCGACAGATAGATATTGTGTTATTATCAAGCGAAAAGTATTTCTCTCTATTTTTTTTTTTCTTTTTTAGTAAAAAGTATTTCTCTTTTTGAGTGAGCTTTAAAATCACAATAATAAAGTTTAATATAATTTTTTAATATATTATAATTAAAAAAATAATTTGATTTCTTCCCAAAATAACATCGTTTTAGGCTCACCTGATATAATTTATCTCCATTGCTGAAGAAATGTTTTACCCTATTATCAATATCATTTCTATTTTATTTTATCGTTAGACCGATTATATCAATATAATGATTACGATTTAATTTTTAATTTTATTTTTTATATTTAATACTTTATATTCATTTTCACTTTTGTATGGTTATGATTATTGATATTTAATATTTTCATATTAAATATGAAAATCATAACCTTACAAAGATGAAAATAAATATAATTGTTGGATCAATATAATCGATTTAACGGTGAAATAAAATAGTAGTGATATTGATAATAACATTAGATAGTAATAATATGGGTTTTTAGTTTATCATGTTACATGAACACTATTCATCATTCTTGCTGATACATCGAAAATCTCACTTTCTTTTATTTTCTTTTTTCTTTTTCTTCTCTTAAAGTGGCCCACCAAAATCTCTTCTCTGCATGACTACTATTTATTTTTTCGGTAACATAACAAACTAAAAGCCCTAATAATATTCTATCTCATTTCAACAAGTGATTATTAATTGATCTGCTTAAATTGAGTTTATATAAAATTAGATAATATAAATATAAATATAACTAAAGGAAGGTTATATTTATAACTTATTTTTATTTAAAAACTTTTACAATCATATTTTAACCGTAGATTTTTGTCAATCAATAGTTATCATTTATTATAAATTAATAATTAATTAATGAGTTTGATTTGCGAAAATAATAACCGTTGATTTGTGGAATCAACGGTTAAGATATAATTGTAAAAGATTATAAATGAAAATAGGTTGTAAATATAACCTTTCAAAATAATATATATTTGTATGATTATGATTATCCATATTTAATATTTTCATATTAAATATAAAAAATCATAATCTTGTAAAGATGAAAATAAATATAATCGTTGGATCAATATAATAGATCTAACGGTAAAATAAAATAGTAATGATATTGATAATAACACTAATTGATAGTAATAATATTCTATCTCATTTCAACAAGTGATTATTCATTGATCTGCTTAAATTGAGTTTATATAAAAATAGATAATAAAAATATAAATAGAAGTAATATTAAAATAAAAATAATTTGATTTAGTAATTAGTATTTCATTTTTTTTTCTAAAGTGTCAATTTTTTTTTTTTTGAGTGAACCCAAGGATATCCCCACCCCACATAGAATGGGACTAATCCCTCTCGTAGCTAGAGCGAAACGGTTTTGCTATTGGCCCCAAAAAGCGTCTCGCAGAAATCAAACACTAAGCTCTTTAGACTCACGTGCCCGACCCCTGAGAACTCAGCTCGCTTCCACTGAGCCAACCCCTTGAGGTTAAGTGTCAATTTTAAATCCTAAAGAGTATAATTATGATGAAATATTTTGCTAAAATGGTTTTGACTTAGTGAAATTTTTTCAAAAATCGATTTAACTAAAAAATTTGTATTGGTTAACACCGATTAATTCGATTCACCAATTTTTAACTGAATTATATATATGACTAATTAATTAACTGGACCAGAACTATTAATGATCCGATTCCAGTTTCAATCATAGGTCGGATGGATTTTAATAACACTGTCACAAAGTGCTTTCGTACAAGTTTCTTCAATTGGTAGTTTGGCCACAAGAGATAGAGATGCTCTTAACAAGATTTTCATATATTCTTTTCAATACATATTTTGTACTTTAGTTATTGCCTGAATTTCGAGTCTTATTAAATAATTTAGATCTATTTTTATTTTTATTAAATGAGAATGATGTAAAATTCACTTAATAATAAGAAAATATTCTTAAGAAAATTATGTGGAACAATATATTACTTTTTGTACATAAGCTTCCTAAACTGTTCCTATCGCTCTACCGTGATCAAATTGGCAAGCAGTTTTCATTTGTTAAGAAAAAAAAAAAAAAAAAAAAAAAAGGAGCTGCAGCGTCAATACATTTCTAATATTTTTTATTTAAGAAATTGGTTAATGACTCACAAATTTATCATTTTTACATTTTTATTTTTCCCTCTAACTACCTAAACAGGCCAACGGATGATTGACCAAACAATTGCATGTTCCAATCTGCTCATTTAAAATAATAAAATTACATGTTCCATCGATTGCGCTGGCAATTTTCATGTTTATGTCAACATGTATTCGGATTTATGTTCATTAAAAAGTGACCTGAAAAAAGTGTATTATGTTCAATGATAGGGATATTCATATTGCGTTCATATCGATCTGTTTTTTCAAATTAAATAATTATATATTTATATATTTATCTCCACCCTATTTTTATTTATTAATTTGAAATTATTTAGGTAAATTTTATTCGACAAGTGAAATTAATAATGCATTAGTGTCATGTAATTAACGAGTCGTGTTTGTAGAGATTTTGGCACAAACAGCTATTGGTATCGTTTTTGTATTGTATAAAATTCTTATCAACTCAAACACCACTTGCCAACTGAAATCGTCAGTATTAGGAATGTAAATGAGTCAGGTAGTTTATTAGAAATTTATAACTCAGCCTATATTAAATTAATCTTGATATGTTATATTTAATAAAATAAAACAGGTTCAAACTTTTAAAAAAGTCTATTTAAAAAATAGATGTAAGCTTACAGAATGACCAATCTCCTATTATTTATTTTAAATATAATAAATAAAATTATTATTTAAATAATTTTGAATAATTAAGTAATATTTCTTTAATTTAATTTTTTAATTCTTAAATACCTAATAGACTTAAACAAGCTAATAGATCTAGGCCAGACCTTTTGCTTTTGAAATATAAGTCATACCAAATTTATAATTTGGCCAACATCAGGTTAACAGACCTGATCAAGTTTAAAATATTTTACACAGATATAGTTTATTTGAGATAAAATCTGGCCTGACCCAACGCGATTACACCCCTACACACTCCTAATTGTGTAATTTGCGATAGTTGATTTTCAACACTATTATTGACTAAAAACTTATTTGACAATTTTGACAAGTTTTGGAAATTAAAAACAAATGTTTAAATTAACTGGATTTATTTTAAAAATTAATAAAACTATAAGAATTTGTAAAATAATTTAGAGTGTTTGATGGACGTTTTTTTAAAAAAATTATTGCTTTCTTTTTTATAATAACATTTTTTAAAAGTTGAGTTATTTTATGTTTGGATGAAATACACAATTGTATATTTATAAAAAAATTTATTTAAATGTTGAAATTAATTAGCACTTTTTATATATATAATTACTAAAAATGATATGTTTATGGTAATAGTAGTGAAAGGGAGTAGTTGGAGTGGGATTGAGGCAAAATTGGATTTTTTAAAAATTATTATTTTAATTTTTATATTAAATCCTGATTTTTAAAAAAATTATTATCCAAACTCATAAAATTACTCAAAATGATTTTTTAAAAATATATATATATTATTAAAATAAAGTTCGTCCAAATATCTACTACAAAAATTTATAAAAGAAATATAAGAAATTACCGTGTACTCGAAAGAGAACTAGCTATTTAATTAAAATCATCCATCGTCGGATCTTGAGTTAATTCCTTTTATGGAAGGATGCTCTCAGATAATGGGTTTTAGGCCCTGCCCAATTCCTCCTCCTCCAACATCAACTAGTGTTGATATTCCCTCAAATCCTTTGTATATTTTCAGCATCATTTTAACTTCTAATGGGCCAGATTGGGCCATTGCTATGTTGTAACTTCGACTCAGCTCTTTATCTGTCCCCATGTGCTTAAACATTGACACTCCATATACTTCCACGAAATGGTTATTGTTATTAGCGTCCATAATTGCATCCTTTACATAATTACATCATTCCTAATAAGAAACAACACAAAAAAATCCGAGCAGAAGTCATCAAATTATAACTCAATTTTTTTCATTCTAAAATATAGTAAATAAGTATTGATTCAAGTGATAAGAAATATATTTATCTAAACTATAGATAAACTATAGATATATGAATTCAACCGTCCTCAAATAGATTGATTGGTTTGAATATATATGTGCTTTACTTTTTTCGGCCCGCTTGACCTTCAGTAAATAAATTTGGAGAATCATAACCATACAAAAGTTGGTAAAAGCATCAAATGCGAGAAACTATAATTAATCAACGGTGTCAGATTTATTATTGGACGTCCAACCGTCGAAGAAATAATTTTACCTATATCTATATATGAGTTTTATTAATCTCATGTTAAAGAAGATAAGTTATCTCATGTCTTAGAGACAAACTTGTGGGTTCCACCACCTGAAAAAAAAAAGGTGACACAGTTATCGAAAGGTGTGTAGGAAAAAAAACTTATCTCATATAGCATGAGAATAGTTTTTCCATTTATATATATATAAAGAGAGGAGAGGAATCAACTTGCATTGATATAAGAATAACATGTCTTATATTAAATCATTGATGTATTTGCTTCTAACATCTCTAATTTATTAATCATGTCAACCATTAGATGCAAGTGAAATTAAAAACTAAAATTAAGAGTGTAAATTATACTTGTGTAAATATCCAGTCATTTTGTCCCTCTTTTAGTTATTTTACCTTTTTACCTCTTTCTCAAATTATATATCAATTTATCTATTTTCTAAAATTATATATTAATTTATCCTTGTTTGACCAAAGCTTGATCAATACCGATGT